TGTCTCTTAGAAGGGTTGGGCTCTGAGGCTTTCTGCCTGAATAGATTTAGGACAATGATATACTACAAGTTTGCCTACCTGCAACTAAATAAACATTTTCTAGGTTGATCAAGGAGAAAGGGAAAGAGTATTAAAAGGAAAAGCAAAGAGACTTAAGTTTTGATGAGTTCCTTTGGAGAGACCCTAAACAAGGATTCCTTTAAGAACATCATGGAAAAATCCCAAAACCTCTGGGCCACTTTCAGTTATGAAATAAATCTCAGCACAGTCCTGTTTAAAACTTCAATCTTCACTTCTGCTCTGCTCTCCATACCTCAGGCTTGACTCCTGCCCACAGTGAGGTTGACATGGTCTTCTCCGATATTCCTCCTCCCTCTTTTTCCTTTGGCTGTAGCTCTTTCCGGGTTAAAACCAGTTACTGGGGAGTCAATTCTGAATCATGGCAACCCCATGTGTGTCAAAATAGAACTGTGCTGTATATAATTTTTGATGGCTGATTTTTCAGAATTAGATCACCAGGCCTTTCTTCTGAAGAACTTCTGGGTGGATTCAAACCTCCAACGTTTTAGTTAGGAGCCTAGTGTGTTAACTGTTTGCATCACCCCAGGATAGGTAGATAGATAGATAGATAGATAGATATTCCAATAATATTAGGAATATCAAGAATATTCTATTAATATTAGGTGAACTTTAGGGATAAGATCCAATAATCAACCTCACACCAACGAAAATTCACTGCAGGTAGAGGAAAGGGAAAACCTGGCTATGAAGAAATATGGCAGAAGGTTAAACATGACCACAGTCGTCAGTGTGGTCTATACTGGAAATTATTAGACAGCTATAAAGGCAAGAGTTAGAAAGCTATTGTCTTTTATTCTGCAATAAGCAGAGCTTTATCGGTGCTCTCCTTACTATAAACTTAAAATGTTAGGAACAGACCACAGAGAGTAAAATATCAACTTAAATAATTAAATAAAAGAAGCTTAAATCTTAGAACAGAGAAGGTAATATTAAGTGATGACTAATTTATGGTCTTTTAAATATATAAAGGTTCATTTTTTAATCAAAAAATAAAGAATGAAATTTTTTTCTCAATATTGGAGAATCACATTAAGTTGTTCTGGCTTATCTTCTGTTTGAGAAGCCTACAAATGAAAGCCTTGTCTATCCCCTACTCCTTCCTGCTGTTTTTCAAGTCATGGAAAAATCTGCTTTTGTCGTTGTTGAAAAAAAAAAAATTATTACCTTCTTTAAATCATTAAAATGAGATTTTCTACTAATCAGAATAAGACATAGTCTTATATCAGAAATAAGGTGCTACCTGCATTAAGCAGGCATCCCTGGGTAGGTTTCTTTTCCTTAGACACCTCTTGTCTAAATGAACACACAATCACTTGCAGATCTGTATCAGCCATCCTCCTGAAATACAGCAGTCTTCCAGTTACTGTGTTTTTCAAAGCAGGACCTCCCAAATCAATTGAACCCAAACCATCAGGGAACTTACTAAAAAAGCAGACTCCTGGCCTCCTGCCAGACCGATTGAATCAGAATCTTTGAGGATGAAGTTATTTTTTAAATAGATTTTTATGGGATTCTTAAATGTACGATAAAATTTGAGCAGCATTGTCCAATTAACTCTGGAAAGACTTTATTTTTTAATCTCATGGTACCTGCAGCATTTACTTTATCTCAGAAATTCCATCATCTCAAAATTTGCTTAAGCCTGGGTTTTCTCATCTGAGAAATGGGATAATATTACTTCATAGTTATTGAATTATTAAATGAGTAGATAAAGTGCTGAGCACTGAACTTGGCATATGGTAAGGGCTCAATAAATGATGATGAAAATGATGATGGCGATGAGGTAGATGACAACATGGGGGCAGGTGAGAGAAAGAATCCTCTGACAACTTTCTGATTTCCTCCCCTGAATGAATCTGTCATACACTGGGAAGACTGCAAGGCTATAAGCCCAAAAGGTTAAAATAGAACAAAACCAGGTAAACGAACACTTAGTAAAACTGTCTTTATTTGCAGATGACATGGGTGTGGATGTAGAAATTCTAAAAGAATGCATAAATTATTAGAATTAACAAGTAAATTTAGCAAGTAAGAGGAATACAAGGTCAATACAATACATTAGAAACAACTGGAAAATAAAACTTTAAAAACACTTAAAATAGCATGGAATCTTTACACATGGGAGTAATTCTGACTACGATGCACAAGATCAGTACACTGAGAACTAAAATTACTGCTTAGAGAAATTAAAGATGACCTAAATAAATGAAGATATATTCTGTGTTTATGGCAAGAAGACTCAACATTGCTATCAATTTTCCCCAATTGATCCATAGATTTAATCCATTTAAGACAGGGAGGCAACGAGATCAAAACTGTAGCTGAAATTCTGTGAAATTGAAAAGCGACTCTAAAAATTGATAAGGAGTCGCAAAGGACCTGGAATAACAGTATCAGTAAAAAGAATAAAAATGAAGAGAAATTATACTATAAAGCTACATTTATAAGCACATTATAATATAGGTGGAATGATGGACTAATTAACAGACAATTGAAACAAAATACATACATAGCTCAGAAACAGACTCACACAGGGTCGCTTGATTTATACAAAAGAGCTGCTGCAATTCAGTGGGAGAAAGATGGTCTTTTCATTAAACGGTCATGGAGCAACTGGACATTGTGATGGTTAAGATTGTGTGTCGACTTGGCTGGGCCATGATTCTCAGTGTTTATATGTGAACACTCCCATGATTAAATATGCTGTGAGTAGCCAGTCAGTGGAAAGGGAGTTTCCCTGGGGGTGCAGCCTGCATCTGAATATAAGCAGACATTCTGGCTTTTTGCTCTCTCTGGATCCTGCAGCTGCCTCCTGTTCATCTGACCTCTGGTTCTTGGTACTTGAGCTGTCAGCTTAACTGCTGAACTTGGGATTTGTCAATCTTCACAGCCTGTGAGTGGAGCCCTGCTCTCTGACCTACTGATCTTGGGTTCACCAGCCCCTGCAGCTACGTGAATCAGGAGAAACCAGGCAGTCTTGCCTACCGATCTTGGAATTCGTCGACCTTCACAGCCTGTGAGTGGGAGCCCTACTCTCTGACCCGCCGATCTTGGGCTCGCCAGCTTCTGCGGCTGCGTGAATTGGCAGAAGCCTCTATCCTGATCCACAGACTTGGGACGTTCTAGCCTCTACAACCTCGTGAACTGTTTCCTTGATATAAATCTCTCTCTTTGTTCGCTTTATTGGTTTTGCTTCCCTAGAGAACCCAGACTAAGACAGACGTTTCTGAAGTAAAATAAATAAATAAATAAATAACCATGAACTCTATTTCACAACATAAACAAAAATTCATTTGAAGTGGAATATAGACCTAAGTGAAATAAACATGCCTTGGAGTAGGCTAGGATTCTAACAAGACTGCAAACATACTAACCATAGAAGAAAAAAATTGATTCGTTGAACTTTATTAAAATTAGGGACTTTTGTACATTAAAGGACATCATTTTAAAAGTGAATAATCAAGCAATTGTTTAGTGAAAAATTCACAATCTATATTTTTGACAAGGGCTCATATGCAGAGTATATAAAGAACACCTACAAATGATTGATAAATGACAAATATCCCAACTAAAAAAGAAGCAAAAAACTTGAACAGGCACTGAACAGAAAATAATATCCAGATAGTCAATGAATACATGAAAAGATGCTCAGCAAATTAAAACCAGAATGATATAACACTACATATCACCAGAATGGTTAAAAACAACACCACACCTGATACCATTTCTTGGTGAAGATATACAGTAACTAGAACTCTCATTAGCATGATGCACAAGGGGACTGTCAGAGATACCTGGACAGAATGAACAGTAATGTGCATTTACACATCTTTGTTCTCTGGCCATGTCACAAGCCTTTATTCTCCATAGGACCCCTTGGTAAGAGGATCTAGGTGCTGATTAAACACTCCTTCCTCTGAGGAGAAAAGACACAGAGATGCCTCTGCCATTTATTCAAGGGCCCCAGCTGTATGGTTTTCGTACAGGCTACAGGTGCTGGGGGAGCACTGTGTCCACAGCACAGAGGTAAGTGGCTGAGTCTTCAGGTTTAGAGGCTGTGATGTGCAGGGAACTTTCCTTTTTTGATAATGTGCCTCTAAGTCTCTCTTTCTGCTCTTCATCCCCAACTGAATACAGGAGGAAGAGGAGGTCAGGACCATTCCCAGGATCTTGCTTATACCACTGTAGGCCTCCAAATTTGCTGACTGAGTAACTGCAGTTGAGGCTGACATTGTCTCCCTCCTGGAGTATCAGTGCCCGAGGACTCTGTTCCACTTGGTCTTTTCCAGTTGACCCTGGTCAGAAAAACAAAATCAGAAATGATACAAAGCTTTTAGTTCATCAGTTTTGAAAACATCCAGCCGGAAACCTGGGATGAGCTGAAACACTGTCTCTCTTCTTTGGGTTTGGATGAATGTGCCTATATGGTCCTCATCTCTTAAACTCCAATTTTAGGAGCCTTGGTGGCACTAACAGAGAGGTTGGCAGTTTAAACCCACCCAGTGGCTCCATGGCAGAAAGATCTAGAGCTCTGCTTCCATAAAGATTACAGCCAAGAAAACCCTATGGGGCTACTCTATGGAGCTGTTCTGTCACATGAAGTCACTAACAGTCAAAAATCAACTCCAAGGCATTTAACTACAGCAACCTCCAACTTACAGCCAAACTGAAGGCACAAGACTATCAATGCATATTTCAGCATTTTCTCCATCCTGACACCTCAGTCTTGATACAATTTGTGATTCCAAACCTTCTTTTCTCAGAAGAGCTGTTTCTGTGTCTTAGTTCTTGTTTTCCAGTGCACAAGAGAACCATTCTGTTGGTGACTCAGCCAATCAATGCAAGCCCTTGGTAACTTTCAAGCTTTTGAAATTTAAGGCATTCATGCAATGAGGGAAATGGAACCACTGCCACCTCGTGGCCACACATGAAATCTCATGGTGCCCACTTCATGTCACCTACAAAGAAAAAAAAATAAGGAGAGAATAGTCTTCATATTTGGAGGGCATAGTGCACACGACGGCTAAAGAAGGCTTAAGAAAAGTCTTCACTGGGCTGCACTTTTAATTTTTTCATTGTTCTTTGGATGACCTGCAAGCTAAGCTGCTACCAGACGTTATAGATTAGTTGAACCAAAGTGGTAGGTGTAATAGATTATATTTTTCTTTAAAGAGCATAAGAATCTGAGCATATAAAACCTTAAAGCTCTGGAAAAATAAAAGAGAAAGAATCAAATAGATCATGGATATGTCTAGAAACCTTTTTGATACAATGTGCAGAGAATTGGGAACATAAGTTAAGGCATTCGTTTCTGCAAACTATTTTATGCCTGGCTACAGAGAAAAGACTAAGTGTGCAGAGTCACAAACTTGATAGATCATAGAAGGAGGGAGGGAAGAGCATGTAGAGGGAAAAAAAGAGCTCTCCATTAATGGACCTCAGAGAGACTCAAGAGTCACTGTGTGTGTGAGGCAGGAGTATATTGGGCATGCAAATGATGAACATGTCATACAATAAAATTAATATACAGGAAAGTAAGTTTTACTTCCTTTTTTGACCATAAGTACCATAATTCTCATTCATAGAGACAACTACTTCTGGTGGGTGCGTGCACTCACACACACACACACACACACACGCACATGCACACACACAAACAAGTATTTTCAGATAAACCAATATACTCCACTCTGTGCCTTGCTTTGTTTGTACTCTAAATATCTCTTAGAGATTCTCTATTATTTAACTGTTGCACAGTATTCCACTGTATGGACATGCTATATTTTAATTAAGCAGTTATGTATTTTTGCAATTTTAGGTTGTCTCCAGTCTTCTACTAAGACAAATTATTGCCAAAATAAATATCATTGCACAAAGATGTTAGCCAACATGAACAAGTATATCAATAAAAAATATTGAAAGTAGAAAAACTACAACAAATGATATATGCATCTTTCACTTAATAAATATTACCAAAATGCCTCTAAACAGGCAGTACAAATGTACACATTTACAGTGTGTTAGAATATCTTTTTCTCTACTCCCTTCCCAATACATTTTATTATCAAACAGTTTTATCTTTCAGTTTAATAGGTGAAAATTGCTAATTTGGAGTATCACTTTTTATTTCTGTTTATTAAGAGTGAGGCTGGAATTTTAAAGATAAATTTAAAATCAATTTAAATATCTATTTTTGAAAAGTCTACTGAAAATTCTGATCAAGCGTTAGTTTTGGAGTCAGAACATCTAGAATCAAACTGCAATTCTATGATTTATATTCTGTGTGATTCTGAACGAGTTGCTGAGTGCCTTTCTCTGTGACTTAGTTTTTTCATCTCAGTAATGGAGAATAAACAGTACTCAAGAACTGCTGTTAGGATCATTTGTAATACATATTGAGAAAGACAAACATATAGATAGAATAACTTGCTCCCTCTCTTTCCTTTTCTCTCTTCTCTCCTTGCATATTTATTGATTGAGATAGAGACAGACAGACAGGCAGGCAGGCAGACAGACAGATAGATAGACAGACAGATATAAAAAAAACATAAGGAAAAAGAAAGTCCTCACAACTGGACCAATAAGCAACATCATGATAAACAGTGAAAATACTGAAATTGTCAAGGGTTTCATTTTATTTGGATCCACAATCAATGCCATGGAAGAAGCAGTCAAAAAATCAAAGGAAGTATGTGTTGGACACCTTAAAGTGTTAAAATGCAAAGACGTCACTCTGAGGACTAACGCGTGCCTGACCCAACCCATGGTATTTTCAATTGCCTAGTGTGCATGTGAAAGCTGGACAATGAATAAGGAAGACCAAAGAAGAATTGACGCCTTTGAACTGTGGTGTTGGCAAAGGATATTGAATATACCATGGACTGCCAGAAGAATGAACAAATCTGTCTTGGAAGAAGTACAGTGAGAATGCTCCT